TTAAATGGGAATTTGAAACTAGCTAGAGTGAACAGCTTTCCATGTTGAACTGGTGCTTTCAGCACATCCAAACAGGCTTATTTTAATAAGTGCTTTACCTATATATTTACCGTATTATACTGACTGGATAGGTTGAAGGCTATTTACCTTAGTTGATATTAAGATAAATGTATATATATATAATAAAGTAAGTTGAAGCAACACAAGTAAACTGGTGATAACGAATAAAACTTCTTGTCTGACTTAATGTTGGCGTTATTACAGTGTTTGTCACCTGTTGTTGCCATGCGTTTTGGTCTTTGTTCTGTGGACAGAGGAAAGTTCTGCCCAACCCATATGGGATCGTGTCACACAATTGGTCTTCGAACCAAATCGACTCAATTATTGGTAAGATTTTCACATGTATTTGCGCCTTGTAATTCACGAAGGTACAAACAGAAGTTCTTATGCATTTAAACAATATATTGATTCATTCTGACGCACGAGCGACGATAGTTACGCATGAAGAAGTTATGCGGTGTTCATATATCTTTTTTCTACGAGTAAAGTAGATATAGGAACACATTCAATTAATTCAATTAACACATTATTTCCTTAGCATTTTCTCGGAAATAAATGATTATTTCTAAATCAGTGGTCTCTAGCTTAATTGTAGCTATAATGTTGTGTTTTTTTTTTTAGGTACAATGTGTACGAAAAGCTATTTCATTTAGGTCGGTATCACGTTCACAACCTACCCAAGGTAATGGCACTACCATTCCATGGAGCCCAAAAAGCGCTGGTGACCTTCTATAATCTTCAGCACTCGCAGCAGCTGTCATAATCAATGAAGTCTGTATATCTTTCTAATTTATTCAAATCGTAGTATTAGCATGATGGTTGAATTTCGGTGAAAAGTTCTGACCATATTTTGGATGTTGATGTCGATGTTGGATGGCAAAAATTTGGTGCCTGTCTTTCCGAGGCTACGATGCGGGCCACTGGCCGCTGATAGAGCGCTTACTATTTGTCATGATCGTATATTTATGCTCCTGTACATATCGGCGACTCCTTACATACAAACAGTTATAGTCGATACGGAGATTCACTGTGATATTCGTACAACAGCTTACAACATTGCAATGGATTGTCGTATACTGAAATTTTGCTGTACATGTAATAAAGCATACGTGTTTCGACATGCTTCAGTAAGCTCGTGTACTCACTACGCAAACCGGGCACGATGATAATTTGACTAGATCGATCTTGCGATTGGTCAAGTTGCTTAGAGCTTGTAGGAAATTCTAACTGAAAATATATATATTCACGCTGGCCAGTACCAGGTCAGAGATCCGCCAAATACTGATTAACGATTGGTCGTCGTAGCCCGAGTACAAACAAACAAACATATGAGATCTTTTTTGCATAGGGTATGAGTCAGCTAAACGCTGTTTTCACTGTTAAGAAACTTTGAACATAGCAGTAAAACAAAAAACATTTTGTAAAAAAAAATCCCTGTTTTCATAATCAGTAATATCAGCATATAACCAGTGATGATCGAAATTAATCATATGTTTGTTGAAGACGTTCTGTTACCTGCTAACTTCTAAACGCTTCTTCTAAAGCTTCTTCTAAACGAAAACCGCTAAAAACCGCTAATTATTAACGGTATGCATGAAGCCGATATCTTGAATCTAACTTACCGTTGGTTAATGTATCTTCTGTGGATTGATAATTTAAATATAGAAAGTACTTCTTCTGCATAATTTCTAGCAACCCTTAACGATATATTGATGAACCCTTGTTGATATACATGATCGACTAGGAAGTCATTGATCTTCAGTCCTGCAAATAACAGTTTGAAGATGTACTTGCGCTGTTCGTGTTTCTTCTATATTTGATTTAGTTTTTTTTTTTAAATCTTTTGGGATTCGAACGAAGAAGTATGTGTCCGAATGATACAGAGACCCTTCGCTAAAGGCTGTCAAAAAACATAATTTCCTGCTGGTATCTGTTACTAATTAATATTAGACATCCTGCAACAAAAACAAAGCTGCTGCGACTGGCTTAGTGCCATAGATAAAGCATTAGATGACCCCCTTAGATACTGGTCTAAGCTATGTCTGCCTAAAGATTATCATATTACTAAGGTTCGCTGCGAGCATCTCTACAACATATAGAGCCTCAGAAATAGTCGCCAATGAAAAATTGTATTGATTCCACGAAAAAGGGGTACGTACCGCGCTGGTCTAATCGGGCTCTTCTTATTCTTTAACGGATGCAATCCATCCGCCTCGACCACTCTGCTGCACACTGAGCAAGTAAAGGGTCTTTGTACAGCAGGTCTAGGATCTCTGTATAGGCTTTGGCATCGATATATACAGCCTAAAAGAGTGAGTTGAAAATTTATCCAAGACATCTATTTGCATTCTATCTACCAGCGCATGAGCCGCGACGACACGTTCCGGTCTCTTGAATTCGCCGCAAGGAAGGGGGCTCAGTTTTGCGTAAACCGAATATTTCGTTTCTAAAATCCAATGTACGCAAAAGTTAGCACTTGAACGTAATAGCTCTGATATCAATTGTGTTTAGCACCGTTCTGATAAAATATCAGACTGACGTTTCCTTCTTGACAACTTAATGAGAGACGACGCAGAGCCGGAGCTAGTACGTTGCATGTTTACTGTTCGATTTTTTGTCGGTATTTTTGCTCTCTCTTTTTAAGCTATTCTCTCTGTATGGACACTTCTTTGGAATCACTCCTTCGTAAGCGTAGCATTAAACATCTCGCTACACTGACCAGGTTAACACGGCGGGTTTTACTGGATTTACTTGTAGTCTCGAAAACAGACATATGAAACAGCATAGCAACCATACAAATACTGAACTTAATAGCGAATTTTGATTTTACTTAATTTCTTGTTAGGTATCTTAGAGTAAGTTACTGTAAGTACATTGAGATAGCATAACATTTAACGAAAATGTTTGTCACGCATTCTAGAACATCACTGAGTCATCATTCGGTAATTTGAGGTAGATAACATAAGGTAAGGGAAAGGTTTGTAGTTTATATTTATAATTTTCACATTTGCTTATTCCACATAGACTGTGGGAATGGTTCTTTTAAAAAAGCCGTACGAGAGACTTTCACGAAAGTAGATATTTCAAATAATAAAAAACTTTTTGCCTTCCGTACGCCTTTAATTCCACTGATCGAACTCACGTATGAACTGCGTCAAATGTGTAACATGTTAAGAAATGGCAGAAAATGTTGTTTTCCCTGATTTTATTCCGCTATAGTAAACTTTTCCGTCAAGTAAAAGTTAACAGTCTATAGCCATTGAGAATGCTGGCACGTTCGACATCAGGCCCGGTACGGGTGGCAGGAACTGCGAGCATCGGTCTCATTCTAGCCGACTTTTCTGAATGTTGATCAGTTCGAACCTATCTGATCTTTATTTAACAAGCTCAAATTAATCCGTCTTTAGGAGAGATCGATCAAATAATGTAACTTCTGTTTCATGGATATTGCAAAACGTCGGTATGGCCTAGATCAGAGAACGAAAATGAATTTTCATCAAATACATTTGCATGAATAAACTCACTCAATACATTCCGTTTTATTTAACAATTCCTGGTTGGTATATCGAGTTCGTAGAGCACAGCCAAACCGTTTCCCGAAAACGTCAAAACAGTAAGTAGTTCACGAGATCTGTGAGAATTTATTGAGTTACACCGTTGCATGATTATATATAGAAAGTCAGGTTCTATGTAAACTGTGCCGTTCAAGTTGACAGAACTTCGATCTGAATCCGATATAAATAAATAAACAAAAAGGGCGTCACATAAAACCAAAGCGTCACAGGTTCCTAAATTATCTAAGGCACTACACATACACTAAGCCAATATAATAATCTGTGGAAAAAGCAGATCTGCCTGAACGTTTACGGAAACAAGGTGAGCTGAGCAGTAGAATATAAACCAATTCAGCCAAAGCGGCTCGCTTCTACACGGGTAGCGCAACTTTTAAGATCGTTGATAGATTGATTCTCTTCAAATCGATAACATTTTATTTATAACAGTGACTCTAGTAACTAGATGACATAAGTAAATGCGTCGTTTGCCATTCGGGTTTTTTTGAAAACGACGCTTTATAATGGTTGGGGTTATAAATAATGGTGTGATGCCTGCCACTACGGATATGGATAACCAACGCATCCCTATAGCATTTGCGCGTGCAAACATGGTAATATTTGTGGTCGCTGTTGCGCTATAACTGTCGTTGCACGACCGTCAAAGAAGGAATGGGCTGTCGGTCCCAGTTCACGAGCCTTTCGCAGTTGACGTCAACAAACAAAAAGAGCGCATCGCATCACGTATTCCTGCTTGTCGCACAGTAGTTCTTCTCTAGTTGGCCGCAGGTCGAAGCAAGCAGTGCGTCCTGTGAACAAACAATAAGCCTCATTCGTCCCGGATCGGGAGCTACATCGTTTTCGGTGCGAGAGTCGTAGCTAAGTTTGGGAATAGACCGGGGTAAGCCGACGAGCCTCATGTTGCGTCGTGTGCATATCGAAGATAGCGGTACACATTGTGACAATCCCAGGAGTAAGCACATAGACCACCAGAGGGCGCGGGAAATTGCGCGTTGAGCTGGGTTGGGAAAGGGGATGCTCACTGATATGGAAAGCGTAGTGAGAAGTGTTGAAAGAAGAAACAAGACGACGAAGACCGTTGTGGGGGAGAGAGAAGAGCACAGCTCTCGACCTTACTACTATTGTCTCGTTGGTGCTTGTATTGGCAAAACAGGAGAGATGAGCAGACGGGAGGCCCACGGTTGGCGACCAGGACAGCCACTGCGGCGAAACGCAGCCGATGTTATATTCACAGCCTGATCAGCACAATGTCGTCGCAATAGTATCACGAGATGAAGATTTTTATTATTTGAAAATTGCCGGCGTTTGAAAATCTTGTTCTAAGCAAGCAAAGCTTCTTATTCAGGTTGAAGAAATTGTTCACGTTTGACCTACAGTTGAGAAAACACATGAGACAGATGAAACAGCGGTATCGCTAGTGATAAGCGAACACTACAGAATACCTACCGTGAATGCTCCGCTTAGGCTGAGCCCAAAGATAATAGGAACCAATTTATGTGATACATGCATAAGTGAAAAAGTCCTATTGTTTTTATCCTTAGTTTTCTTTTATTTTCGTTCTGATTCTGCAGTGTATTGGTGCGTTTATGAAATGCCTGCCAGTGTGTGTAGTAGTGGCGGGTGGAACGCCGTGAGATGCAACGGTGCTTTGGATACGAGTGAGCAGCAAACTGATTGTGTGTGTCTGTTGATATGAAGAGAATTCGAACATGCATAGAAAGTATGCAGACTAGGATTTTTGTTTGATTCAAGTCTCCCACAACCATGAAATATAGACGCATATCAACTGCTTATATTTTTAGCAAGAGCCAAAAACCAGGGAGAAACTAGATTGCACTGAAAGAACTTAGGGGTACGGGTAGTAACAAAAAATGTTATATATGCTTTCTTTTAAACCAATGCTACCCTTTATTAGCCATATTGCAGCTACATGTCACTCAATTTTTTAAATTTTACGCCACATGTGCTATTGAATCGATTCAATTTACTTAAACTCGGTATGACCGCACGACGTGTGCTGCTCACAGTAAACCAATGCATCTGTACCTATACTCACGTATATAATAGAGTTCGAAAACGTTTGTTCTAAGCTCCACTATTTAACAGGTTATGGCGCGACGAGCAAACCCTACCAGATGGTGGAAAGGTGAACTCTTTCTACTTTCTCATTTGATATATTGTAATAGTCTTTTGTCGAAACACCATACCTCCTTGAGCCACGATCTTGTCACAGGACGATAATGAGAATACTCGACCACTGATCCGTTTCGTATCGGGAGCAGTCAAAGTGTTTGTAGAAAGCTTCGTGCTGATGGTGGTCACGGTGCATACGATGGTGGTTTGTTGTCGAAAGACGTCTACTATCTTTCCACTTTTTGGTCATTTTATTCGTTGAACGACCTTCCTACCACTCAGCAAAGCAATGTATCAACAATAGTCAGTCGTATCGAGTTGGCAGTGCACTCGTGGTAGAAAATGTCTCCCTTTGCCGCACGCCTGTGCTCCTGGGTAATCGTTGCAGCACCTTCAGTAACCGTCGCTGTAATTCCTCGCGGTCGACCAGTCGCTTGCCTGCTTGTTGCGAGCCTGATAGGCTTGGACGGCTGAAGGCCTTCCGTTGTTCCGTTGAAGCGGACCTGGACCATTCTGTTGTAAAACTCTTATAACAGGGCTAGTAACAGCAGTGGACACACAACAGCCAGCTGCCGATGGTAAATGAGGCTGGGCACATCAAGCTACCAGAATGTGCACTGGAATCTGCCCCGACGGCTAACATCTTTAAAGACCTGTCAGGCAATGTAATATTGATGTGCGACGCCATAACGGTCCCACAATAATTTTGACGTGCTTCACGTCCTGCCTAGTCTAATAGAGCGAGCTTTTTTTTGTACTTCTACCGGGATCTGATTGAGGTTTGGCCATGTCCAAAACAGCCGTCTGACAGAACCGGATAGACTGGTCGTCTTTACGCTAAGCCCTCCAGTGAACTTCTGTCTTCTTTCACAGCATCATCCGTTCTGTGATGATAGTACTACCTGAAACGGACTTTAAGTCAGTTGCGGTTCAGCTCTGTTTAACGCAGAGAACGATATGATGCTATCCATACAAGGTCTGCAATGTATCTGCTAACTCTTTGCTTATGGCTAGCTTAAATATTATTTTGAGACTTGCAGAGATACCGAAAAAAAAGATTGTGCGTGTTCATGGAATCAGGAATCGCACAAATATCTAATCTCTACAGATATTATAATATCACTCAAGTGTGGTGAAAGTGTAATACCTAAAAGTGTTGTTTGGCTGTACGGGTACTCCTGCAACAAATCAATGAAATGATGATTTTGACGTTATCATGTAGACGAACAACGGAGACGTATATAAGCTCATATCGAAGTTTAACCGAAAGCATCGTGTAGAAGTGAGTTGTGGCACTGGTAACAGGGGGAAGCTGGTGAACGGCATACGATTGAAGCACGAGTGCTGCCACAACGATTGTTCAATGATGCCTATTCAGAATGTGTTGCTGTCAGAATTCCTGCTTCTGCTGCTGTTGCCGTACAACTATTCTCCTTCTTCTCACAGGAGCGACCATCCTTTTCCTGCTTTTTACTCTGCATCCTGCTTTTGCAGCTGGTGAGAAACTCTTAGTAATTACTTTTTACCGCGTCGAGACGATTCCGAATAACGTTATGCAAACTTGGAAGATCACCGGTTAACCTTTTAATTTATCCTAAATGGTCTCGCAATGGTTAATATCCTAGGGAGTATTTAGTAAGCGCCTTGATAACTGCGTTCGCCGTAAACAAGACAAACAATATCGATTTAAACTTTTTTCTTTTATTTATAACTTCAACCAGCCCTAAGCTCCTGAGAGCATTCAAATTGGGTAGCTATTGATCATGTCGCGTCCATCATCCAGTGAATAGTTAAGCGTTCAAATCTTTTACATAGATAAATTTGCCAATCAGAATGATTGCTATCGTTGATTATATTTTCTATTTCGTATATATATATATATCTATATATATATAACCAATGACATTGTAACAAATGTAACTCAATACAACTAAAAATCTATCCTGAACGCAACTTTATGCTGCTTCTTCCAAACCATAGTTATCCTGGCTTATGAGTATACCGAGCCCCGATATTATGATGATCCCTTGCGAGATCGGCAGTTTAAACAATCTGTAGATAAGTCGCATTATCATTTCCAAAACAAGTACAAACTTATCAGTTTCGAGGTCCTATAACTATTGTTTATAAACGATATGGCCTCTTGTTGCTTAATAACTGTGAGTTTTGCTTGATCGACGTAAGCTTAAAAAACCCCAGCAAGAAGTTCAGTTAAAATTATGGGTGCTAAAATTTGGCAAAAAAAAAAGTCTCAGTTATCCGTTTTAGTTATGCCTAACCATCGGACAGCTCGTTGTTACCAGCTACTTACACACAAATGCTAATTCAAGGCCATCAATACGGTTCCTGGATACGACAATTCAGAAAATAGATACAATAAAGTTTACCCATGAGTTCTAAATTTATGATTGTACGCTATAGGGTGTTCTTAAAATGTTCTATTCTTGCAATGTTCGGCATGCAATTGCCTGATATGTCAGTCTCCGCAAATCCAGCTTCCCTATACAATAAATACAGAACAAACAAGTGATTTCCACAAAATGTTGTTTAAAGTTGCGAAACCATAACAGTGGTTGCGTCGAAGCTGGTGGACGAATTTGGCGGGTACATGTGAACTGCGCGTTACCAGCCTACTCCCCTGCATTCCAAGTAGATGCTATAGACGTCAAGCTGAGTAACATTATATATATGAAAAGAAAAAAAAAAAGAACACAATGAGGTCCCGCAGATTTACGATGAACGGCTTTTACTAGATGTTGGCCATAATGAAATTTATTCATCCTGTGCAGGTTTGTTATTGCGGCTTGATTCGACACGCTCATGTGTGACCAGGGTGGTTCTAGTGTTTCATTTTTTAACTAGTGTTTGACCACGTCCTTAGCCACCTTGGCAGGTATTTTGCTTCTGGATTTTATGCTGTCAGTTATAGGGAACTTACCACCCCCCCATAATTGACAGCATTTTAGTCTACGTATTTTTACAGTTTGAAATGCCCACCGACGCTCTGAACAAAGAGATTTGGCAAGCGTCAACGAATGGGTAGATATGCGCCTGTGGTTTCTGTATCGACGTTTTGTAATCTCATCTTTTTATTGCAACTTGTTCTCGGTTTTCAGACGAGGATGTTGTCGACTTCCACAGTCAAGATGAGGCATTCAGAAATAATGGTGAGGAATCGCCGTCTGACAGATAATGTATAGTGCTCGCATATTGCAGAAGATGTCGAAAATGATGTGTAGATGGAATCGCGGTTTGGTTTTGTCATAAAGCCATGCGTAGTACTCCGCGCGACAACTTAACCGTACACGGAACAAATGAACCCAATGTCTAAAGAAATATTACGTGCACTGATTATAATTATGCATGATTAATCAGAAATCTATTAGTAGCATGAAGGTTAATCATCGGTAAGTTGTACTTATGTATAACACGCAGCTATCTACTGACAACACATATTTATTGACAAGTTTTTACTGCTCACACATGGTCCTTATATCTATATTAATTGTTGGTACAGCCATGGGCGGCCCCAGTGCGCGTGCAAACAACATGGTTGATCGACTTATTCAGCTGATGCAGTCGAGCGCGCTGATTTCTCCGCAGCTGAATAACATCACTGTAGAGCGCACCCTGGACCTCAAACATGGAACTATTGAAGATCTTAACATACAGGGACTTGTTGCAGGTACGCGGCCTATTTGAAATTACATAAAAGCTGACAGGTTGGGGTATATATATATTGACTTATATTTATTGAAGCACTCGAAATAGCCGGCTAGATATTAACTAAATATGGACTCAAACAACATAGGTGTGTATATAAATAAATAAATATTTCAAGTTTTACATCTGTTATTTCAGATAAGTGGCTCCTATAAAACAAACATTTGTATATCTGGACTAATGTAAATGCATTCTATTAGTTGCTCTTACTCTAATAAAAGTGTTTATATTGTTCATGTTGTAATATAAGCAAAATGGAATTCAGTTATACTTTTCGTTATATTCCTCTATATATAGCTCAGATATCCCTATGTTCGAATAAATAAAAAATATCTACTCTATATATAAAATTCTAGGAAATAAAAAATATTATTCAGCAGCTACTATATTTGAACAAAAGTGTTCACATAGAACATATGCACGAACATTCTAAGCGTCAAACGTTTAACATTTACATCTTAAAGGTGATACCTAGAGAGTGTACTGGAGGTTGCATTTATAGCTTCAATGGACTTCAACATCTGTCTTGTTCTTGTCATTATCTGATTCGGATTTTTTTTCGTTATTTTCCGAAGGGGTAGCAGGCATTCATCGGTGCTAAGTTTACCGAAGCCCTCCTTGATAGTTAGCGTCTGACAACAAACTGACTTGGTGACTTAATCAGTATTAAATGGCTTGTATTGAATACATAGATGATTCAAGTGTGGTTTTCATACTCGAAGTTACTTAGAGATTCTTTAGAGGGAAACGAATGATGAAAACTTCTCGCATAACCATAAGTACAAGTGAGTTAACAGTACGTATTATTTTGTATATAGTTCTCCATAAACCTGCCGTTCGAACATGGATCACTTTTCCTGGTAACACTAAATTTTGCAGCAATTCATTATTTTTTCTTTCGAAGTTCTTTACAAAATGCATGTTCTTCGGAGACTGAGTCTAGCTTGTGGACGAAGAATGACCTTAATTAGCAGTCATCTAGTGCCTCTTTCAGCCTTTCAAAACTATAAGCATTAAGCTATGTTGATTTCGCTAACCTGTCAACGGAACGGCGATTCGGGTCTGCAAACCGGGACCAAATCACTGACCTAAAATACGAAACTCACTAATAATAAGGGGAAAAGTAGGTTCTTATTTAATGATGTTCTGTTAACTGCCGCAAGATTTTCAGGGGATAGTAACAATCAACTAAAATATGAGATGCTATTGGGAAGCGTTCCATATTATTCCACAGTAACTTGTTCTATAGGTATGCAGCGTTCCGGTGATGCTGTGCTGTCTGTATCGGGAACTCGATTTGGACTTGCAATGCCAATCTCTTTAAGAAACGTCACAGTACGCGCTCTGCATCGACGATCATCACCAGTTGGGGGGCTCCAAGCTGCCGGTGTAGCTCATCTTGACGTTCTTACAACCCGATTTCGGGTGTCCTTAGGCACTACAGGAATGAATCTCGACGATTTCAAGGTGAGTAGGCCCGCGGCTGTTCTTCTTGTACCCATTTCACATCTCTATCGAACATAATCTTATTTAGTAAAAACTGAATCTTTGCGATCTCTCTTGCCCGTCGAAGAATTGTTGCGTAAAGCCTTATTCCAGCGCTCGAATAACAACGCCTAAACATGAAATAGGAAGAGTACGTATACTTCAATGGAGCTGAGGCTTAGACGGCAAAGTAGACTGCTAGCGAATGCCTTTAGCTACTGTTGTGGTTAAGCCCGATGTCGCGATGCTGTCACGAGAGGCTAAGTTCTCGCCTCTTCTAATAGCTTTTGCTACCTTCGTCGAATTATCGGCTCCATTATGGAACTAGATCCAGAAACGTCGCGCATGAACTGACGTTCCTAGAAAATATAGTGAATATCTGACATCACTGCGTTCAGTAGTACCGCTAACTTAGTAGCGTCTTATTGGAAAATTTGTATTATTACTATTTTCCATAAACAAGTGTGCGATACAATAGTAAACTGTGTACCGCATTATCCTCAGATTCTTTTACTTTACGTCTACTCATGAGCGCAAAATGACAACCATGATTTAGTGGTGCCCCTTATTGAGCTGAACGCTACAGTTGCAACGGAACTGTCAGGTAACATTATGTTTTGTTCCGTTGTATATTTGGGTTATCGTAAGGCCATGCAATGACCCAGTGAGGTTAATCGTTACTCTGTACAACACTGTATTTTAATACAACGAGTTTTTCAGCGTAGTAGCTTTTGTGCCACCGCGGCAAAATCTAATTGTATATTCGTATTCCCAATGTATATTTACAGATCACAAGCATTGGGCGTATCCGAATGAGAAAACTCGATTTCATTCCTGGGCTAGATTGGTTCTTCTCTTGGTTAGGTGAGACTCAAATCAACCAAAGAAGGGCAGAGCTTGTCGAACCCCTAGAAGAGGCTGGAACCCGGGTTTTTCATAAAGCTCTAAAATCTGTCACACAAGACAAGATTGCAGAGTTCATTGCAGAACGGACGAATAGGCTTCGCATGCTTGGCTAATGCGTCTAGGTCGTAGGACAAAATTATATGATTATTTTCATTTATGACGCTGAAATCGTAACAACACGACGCTTTATACTGCATTAAAAATATGCTTTGGTATCTGTTAAGGCAAAGCCTTGTTACTGCCTGAATATTTGAAAAGATTATACTGTACCTATATAGACAATGGGAAAACTAGCATGGACCCTCTAAACGAAAAGACCTTCCTAGCTCTTCTGTCGATCCTAATGTCGCTGGATTACCATTTGCAATATATTGAAAACATTCCAGTAGTGAAGTCGACTTCGAAAATAATTGAGTTTATAACACAGGCCTTACCTTCGTGAGGTAATTAAATGCTTTGCCCGGCCTAATCAACTGCTATTTAATGCTCAAGTAAACTGCTGTGTTCATTTGAGTGAAATCGTAAATACACGATTGCCGTGTTTTATTGGTCTGTAGCCGATACCACAAAATGTCGCAAATCTTAATATATAACAATTTTATTTAAACTAAATAATTATTTCACTATTTTAGTCGCCTTCGATGCAATATCTAAAATGTTATCGTATCATCAATGTAATAATGTAGTTTTAAGAAAAAAGAATGAAAATTCACAGGGTCACACGCAAACCAAACGTTTAGCCTTTTGAAGTTGCGTGTACTGTTAAGGTATGAACCGGACTGTATGTATTAGTAACATTAGAGTCTGTAAAAACCTGATGACATACTGAGTTTGCGTTACCCCGTTACTTAGGCTTGGTCATATTTGCTGCGTTCTGCAAATATGTATCCTGGCTATTGGCATTCTGTGTATGAGCGCAGGAACCTTCAAAATGGTCAAATACTTATTCTGTTTATTGTTATATATTGTTGTCTATTGTGTATAAAGTATAAGCGTCTCTTTACGAGCACCTTCGAACATAATTTGTTACAGAAGAAATAAAATCTTTATCTTTATTGACAAAATCATGTGTTATTTTCATCATCCATCTTTAATCTTTGCGTTGCAGAAGAATTTGGGTAACTTCATACTTACGGTGTCGTCCTTTCTTTTCTTAGACTTTGTCTGTTGCTAATATATTGTTAATACTAGTAGATCCAACCAAAGTGTAGACTTTTTCTCAACCTGTTGACTATTAGGTAGACTTAGTTAATTCTTTCTTTGAGCCAAACTAGTTTGAACCGCCTATATGAGTCAAATCTTCGAGCTTCAGATAGCTCCTATAAGCATATTAACTAGCGGTAGTATAAATAGAAAATCAGAGATAGCATTACGCAAAGAAAGGTGACAGATTGGTGAGCTGACAAAAAAGATATTTCAAAGGAAAAGCTTCTCGGACTCAAGGATTATAGTGAAAACTACAACTAGCTGGAACATGTTCCTCTAATGAATTGTGAAAAGCTATGTAACATATCATGACCTGTGTTTGCGTGCCTTATCTAGTTATTGATGCATCCGATAGGTGAGCTTGTGAGTTCTCTGCGACATAGTATTACTTTTCCAAGAAGAGTCATCGTATCTCTGCTTGGGGTCAGCTTGCTCATTACTACCTGCTATTACTCATTAGACGAACGTATGTCAGACTATGTAAAATTCTCTTTCGGTTTCAAAGTTGTTTATAAAAATTCAATAGTTACCTTAAACAGACATCGTCGTTGACAGCCAAGTCGGTCCCGTTTAGATTCGAATTGACAAATGGACCGCTTTTGACCTTTTATCTGATGAAGTCTCAATTTGTAAATCAATAGTTAAGTTGTCAAGATACTTTTTTGTTAATACTTTTAGGTCGATTGCCCAAACATTAAGAAAACACTGTGAAATATTCAATACACACATAAACACTTATCATAAATACACAACCTGTACAATAAATAAGGCAGTTTCGCCGGAGTGCAATCTCGATGCAATGGCCCTTTCGCCAGGACGGACTAATTGCTGATTTATTTCACATTTTACGTAGATAAGAAGACCAATTTTGATTAGTATGGCATTTTTCCCTTATGATTTTGGATTGCTAGAAAATCCCATCATAGGTTATTTCCCCTTTCTCCGTACGAAAACACAATATAATGCACAAGAAATGAATAGGACGTACGACTTTCATTAATTCTGCCCTCATATTTTTCAGCTGGACGCAAATGATATGGTCAGCCACAGGTCGGCATTTCATCTTAGCTCGCGTATTCTTTGCCCGGTTCCTGTCCCTTTTTTGTGTTGGTGCAATCATTTACGCTCCGCTGTTCACAGGGGCCAGTTACGATCGACGACAAACGCTAGCACAGCAAGGTTAAACAGAAACTGCAAAGGATACCAAGTGAATATCATACATAAGTTGTTCGTCCATAACTTTTGCATTAAAAAATTTATTGTTTATGTTCAAGATTTGCTGCGTCATGGGAGCATTAGCTTGGTCACTTAGTTTCGACTGCTTTAGACTCATCTCATGTTATTAGCAACCGTCTAAAGCCGTTTCATTTTGATTTGAGTAAAAGAATAAAATTAATGGATAATTTGATAAAAGTAAGAATGGCTATGATAACCTGCGTAATGATGATACTGATTTTCATGATGAATCTGCTTCGTTCGACGTCACCATCCGAGTAGACGCCGAGGATTTCTTTGTCCGCGTAAAGCTACGTAGGCAGAACAAAAAACTTAGCGCCATCATACGAGACGCGTGTCGCAGATTGTACCCGCTTTATTACGTATACGGGGATAATGTTTGAGAAGGTTAGGTAAGGCAAAAATCTTTCACCACCGAATCGATAAATGCACTAACTGAAATTGGATTCTACCGTATAAAGCACAAATCATTAAACATATTAAAAAAAACGAAGGACACCGTATAGTTCGTTCGTTAAAGCAGCAGAAGGTAGATAATATATTGCGAATAAATTGTCCAACAGAGGCACCCTAATAACAAATCAATGTTTCGATAATACTACGTTTTAAGCGTACGAAAACATACTCTGATATTGGTCAATAAAACCATATAAATGATCACTATAGTCATTGTTGCACATTTTACTAACTCTACGAAATTTAGCATATTACATTACCACTTTTCAATTGTCAAAAAGACATCTGTCCATTTTGTCTATATACTCCTATATATAGACAAGCTGTTACCTTTTGTCTTATCTCGATGTCGTAGGTTTCAGTAGGCATAAATACAGGACCGTGTGAAGCCGTAATTTGGATGCCGACACTGGCGACACCAAAAACCACATACGGGACCGCCATGCGCTTTTTATGCTACGAAGAGAAAATTCGATCTCGTCTAATCTAGCTAGAACGTTTTGCAAATATAAGTAAATTAGTGTCTACGGACCGTGAAAGAAATGATTATAAAGTATATGAATAACGGGACGTTTTTGCGTCCCACGATACTCCAGCGTCTACTAACAGCGCTAAACGTTTGTGCTACACTAAATTACTTTCTAAAGAGCTTTCCGAGACAAGCGTACATACGTACGCTTGTCTTGGAAATCTCCCCAAGCCATCATTCACTTATCAAGTTTCGCGCATAAACCACAATTATTATGCAGAAGACGTCTCTGCAGCGCAATGATTACTACGTATATCTAAACTATATACGGGTAATAATTATTTAACTGGACATACGAAGTTAACGGCGTAGAAGAGCCCGAAGCTAAGAAGTGCTATGATGATATCGTCCACTATCGCCGCAATTATATCCGGCTGTCGGGTGTTTGCCAGTTTGTTCAGGCCAAAATAGATCATGTATGAAATGTCCAGGTAGCGCATAAGCTAGTTAACCAAGGTCATGCAATGCAAAAGATTCGAATCAAACTGATAATCAATAAAATAAGCTATTGTATGAGGCAGGTACAAGCCGTTCGAGCCTTTTATAACAGTCATTCAAGTGCAAAATAGCTCAAGGTACTACTCAAACACTATTCATTATATACATACATATATTGTCATTTATAGTTCAGCTTTTCGGCCCATTTGTACTTCTATATGGACCTGAAATATCTCCAAGCGCGAATTAGCACGACTCACATTTGTAAGAGCGGCTACGATGATGACCAGATTAGAAGTCCATGTGGGTTGTGGCTTCTTCGGCTGCATCTATAGAAATGGACCATGAGCCAACCCGAAACGTGGGTTATCAACGAAACTATCCTCCAACAAAGAATTGTTATAGTATTATTTTAACGTAATTTTGATTAAAATTGGTGGTGCATGCCAAATTATTTCACTATACATTTATAACTTATACGATCATTGTATTTGATAAGGCTCATTCGGCTTTGTTTGAAGCGAGTAGAGGTGGCATTTGCGCTTTTTATCTTCCAGTTCATATCGTACGAAGAGACCAGTTTCGTTAACGGTAGCGTGGGTTAGATGGGTGCATAAATCTACCTATTCCCTAAGCGAATGAACATACGTTCAGCAACACGGCATCCTAAAGTTTTATGGGTTACTTATTACACTTGTGAAGGTGCATGTTTTCGAATTTAATTAGACAATGCGGTTATTGGAGAAATTTGACATGCTTCTCCGTCGTTAAGTATAACAACGAATAGAAAGAATTGTGTGATTTTTGGCCTGATTGATTTACGAAATAAGGAAAAATATCTTTAGGCTGTGGAGGTTCTTGACGGCAACAGCTGAATTATAGGATAGCTCTCTAACACTGAAATTCTGTATATGATTCTTCCAGATGTAATCCTCGCGGTTTTTTGATATCGTCCACGGACATCGTTCACGGCATAGGCTTATACTTTTCTCAGGGCTTAATGTTTATAACTTGCAGGATGCTTCAGTCGCTGGTTTTCTTTTGCAGCGATACGATGAACAAATTCTAGGAACAATTTTGTTGACGGGTGATTTCTTAAGTAAATGTTCAGATAAACATACATAGCCCGCAAGCTGCTTTTACATACTCAGTCTATATACCAAATATATTTTATCGCTAATATATACGTTCGTACCCGCATCTGGCTGGACACAAAATTTTAGCAAATACTTATCCTGCCATGTCTATTTATGCGTGTCAATGAAACAGTAATTTGTCTATTATCAAATAAAAATAAACAAATCAAATAAAAAATCAGTTCTCTTTTATGTAATAACATTTATTGGAAATAAATAGATAAAAATAATGCTACATCAAAAACATACTACAGAATGTACTTTTGACCCAAACTGGTCCTAATACTATTGTTATAATAATTAACATTGTTAATATTCTACTAAAATATACATAATACAAACAAATTGTGGGCTCAGTGAATATCACACAAGCTAAGTGAATTTGAACGACACGCCTATCAACTCGGCCGTCTGTCACACTTACCAGGCGAGAGATCCGGTATGCTGGAGACAACTGCCGTATTGAGCGGACCTGGTACATACTGAATCTTTTTGCCACGGTAGTAGTCAAGAAAAACCCGTCGCGTTGCCAATGCTTTCCTCGATCACTGACTTTGCCCTCCTTAAAGGCAAACAATTATGGAGAGACTTTTTATCATTGCTAACGGTCTACGTAGCGTTTTCGGATGTATGTGAAACGACAAGGACAATAAGATCGGCATGTAAAACCGTAGTCCGAATGAAATATGTCCGCAAAGCTTCGCAAACGTTGCTATCCTATTCTATACCGCGTCCGCGTCGCATTATACAACTGGACAAGAAAACGCTCTTAAAACATATCGGTCTTCACTCAAGTTGGCAGAGCTCACCGAGTGGATAATGTATTTGGTGATGCTTATCGATTCATAGTCACGCTAACTTATACGCCGAGCCGAACGATAACGATAACAACAAAGTCAGCAGCAGCAGCAGCAGCAGCAGAAACGGCCGTATAGGCGTGCATGTGCCTGTCGTTATTCTGCCTTAAGTTCGTCTCTGTCTGAGGTGTTCTGCTTCAAAAGCCGAGCAATAATACCTCGAAAGGGCCATCATGGTCGTCAGAGGTCCACTGAAGTTAGACCTTGGTGGACTCAGAAAGGGTCGCAGAATCCCAGTCAGCATAATGCAAGGCGTATATCATCTCTGATCACTCCTTTTTTTCTCTTCCTCAACGTCTGTAAGCGCCGGTCGATCTCGCCTACTGCCTATCTCTTACAACTGCATTCAAGCTTAGCTATTCTCACAAAAGCCGTTTTGTTATGAAGCCTTTTCTCGACCGCCTCATTGCAGAGTCGTGCGGTCGTAATAAGACCAAATGCAACAACCAATGTAACTTTCGAAGAACTTCAAGGTGACGAGTTGGGCTGGCTTGAATTAGGTTAACAACTCGGCTTACACAGGGCGAATCGCACTATCGGTAACAGGCGCTAACCCATAAAACACCAAAGCTATTGATAGTCATTCCTACAACGTATGAGGGCGCTGTCACGTTATGTGTGCTGTTTGCATATTGAACAAGAAAATTAAGGTATTGCTTATTAGTTTTCTTACTTTATTATATTATATTTTTTTATAACCGAAGTTACTTATCTTATTAGGATTACTGTAATTGACATAGTTTCTTATTTATTATTTATACCCGATATTATTATTCGTACGTGTAATTATTCATATATGTATCACTTTCTCGTAGCCTTCTCGTGGGTTGAACATGAAGAATCATTCCTTCAGGAAGGCCTCCTGATATTAATATTGCGGCCAGATTTTTGACGACAGTCAGCATTTCAACCTGTTTTTTTTCCCGACGGTTAGAGCCTGCCGTCGGGCATCAACGAATTTGAGGGTCCGCTCAGCGGCTCGAACCCGAGACGACGCGTTAGTATACTACAAACAAACAGTGTACACGGTCTTTATCGCAGCATCAATATTCAGCACAGTCTGCATTAATCAAACATCCTACACCTAAATCAGCCACGCGACATCAGTTGCGATAAACCGAATACCCGAAAGATTGGCCTGGCGCTCAATGTCCATCCATCGCCCATGATCCTATGCGTGGGCAGACCCGGTACCCAAGCGTTCTGCAATGGTAGCATACGACATCGGCGGGTCAGTCCGTAAGACTGGCTTAGCCACATCCGTCCGTTGCAGGTTTTTCCTTTTGTTAGCTATTAGCATATAGCGTCCAATTAAAATAAAAAAATGAAAGTTCCATACAAGGCCAGATGCGGCGGCCGCGAAGAAGCTGGATAGAAAAATAAGATCAAGGTTCCCTGTTTCTCATGCCTGCTGCAGATTCTCCGAAAATTAGCGTGTCAAATCGCCCATTCTTCAATCTTCTGCGATCCCATCGCTGCCACCAGCAATGCTGTATTAACAAGGCTCGATCGCTGGTGACTGGCAATTGACCGGCTTGCTGAAGGATGCTATATGTCCATTGCCGGCCAAAATCGGAAGTATTCCCATTTTACCAATATGCGTTTTCCGTGTCCCCGTATTTCATGCGCGCTAGCAGACAAAAAAAATGTGTCACACAACACTGTGCATACTTTTCGCAGTCGGTCGCAAAGAAGAGTTTCTACTAGTAATTACTATGCAATGAAATTTCAAACACTTTTGCTGATAAGTAAATCTCACATGTTATTTTGATACAGGGAATAATATTATAATATTAATTATAATAAGCATACTAAATAAGTAATAAAATATCGTTATGAGGCGATTATAACATACAACAGATAAGAATAACTGCATTTATAGTATATACTAATTTATTGCAACAAAATGCCTTCAGTCGAATTGCATGTACAAGAACTAAATGGTAATATGCGAAATATTTAGTAAAGGCTCTTGCATGAAAAACCGTTTTGTGTGCATGATCTTCATAGGAGCAGATGCCGTGGTTATACTATAATTTCTGTTTTTTTTGAGACCCTGTCTTTGGATTGGAAGGGTAGAAGATATGCGCCTTGCAGCAGGCTGAACAGCCTCGGGCCGGTAGACAATCGAATGTCAATTGGACCGGTTTTTCGTTGGTGAGGTACTCTGGAAAACAATGTGGCTTTATGTACATGATTATGTGGCTTACGATAAATACGGATAGCGTGAATTGACCTCGCGGGCTATGATGTTCGACCCATCGAAAATTCAACCAAAGGCTAATTTTTTGAAAAACCATTTTGTAGAAATTATCCATTTTTAACTACTTTAAAGCACAAGGATTCATTCCATTCTACCTTCTCTGAAACGTTCATTACGAAATTCGTGAACGTAAATTTTATCTAGGTATTATTGCTGCTATAAACGTTTTTCTGTTGGAAAGCTAGTTTACTAAATACTCGTGGCCCTACAATTTTGCGTTACAAAAATTAACTACCAGGTGGGCATTGCGACGTGCGTATTGAATCGGCCGTGTTCGACGTAAGGCTCGAAAGGAGACGTTTGCAGTAGCCGGCGACGGTCCTTGCATCGTATTAGCCTGCTGTGTTGTGGAGCATGTCAGAACCCTTCCCTGAGTTCTCTTTGAGGATGAAGCTGTAGCATATTCCTGAGGCAAAGTTAAACTGAGCAATATGTCGTCAACATGATTAACAGTTATGTGGGCGTTCTCAATTAAGCCGTCACCCTGCAAACATGATGGATAAGTTCGATGATCACTGAGGGCACTGAAGTTTTGAGAATGACTTGGAAGACGGAAAACCAGGGTCGTTAATGTCAAAGTTTAGAACTCGCTAACAAAAATGCCACTTGCTCAGACATAAGTTGTCATTGGAAGTGTGTGACGTAATTAGGTCATTATTTTTCAGTGTAGTTTAATAAGGCAAAGGCCACATTTTTACCGAAATTGCAAATCAACATCTGCTCGTAATTCGCACCACGATATGAGTTCGCACTGCTAGGATCTGTGGCATCACTTTTTTAGTTCTGTATACGGTTACATTAGTAACTTTCCATGCACTGTTAAAAAATCGACACCTTCCGTTTTCTTACCTTGAAGGTTTCTTTGTCCCCAAAAATGTCGAAATCCTTGTTCACGGACCGCCTTTTCTGGACGGTCCTTCCAACGGGGCCTTGTGGAGCACCTTCAATTTCTAGTTCTGTAACCTCCACGTCTGTAAGTATAAAGGGCACATGATCATGTTTTTAGGGAGCACAACAACAGACCTCCGACTACATTTTATTGTTAGGTATAGAAAAATTTGCCAGATCTATCTTTCTCGTGTTATAGCTAAAGCTATAACGCAAGAAATCGTAGCATTTATGGAGATGAACAAAATACACCTTGCTACTATTATATAGGCTTCTTCATTATTATAAGGTGAGTTGGCTTTGAGATTCTATCGTGATTATTAAGTGAAATAGGTGAGTCAAAAGGTTTATGTCAATGGTATTTATATCAACAGATGTGAAAGGATACCACTGATAAGACGAACTGGATCATCAGTTAGTATGTCAGATACAAATAAAGAAAATCTCGACAACACTATGAACGTGCTATAAAACAACGTATTGGCCATACCGTTTGCGTGCGAGCAGAAGTCCCTTTCGCCAGTGAGCTCGTCCACGTTCCAACAGGCCAACTTGTCGCAGACTAATGGTTCGAAACCACCATCTTCTGTACACACAAGAAGCTGTGCTGCTAAATTCAGAGCTAATAAGCAATCGGATAGGAAAAAAAGTGTGCTTGTATCGTTCGTGTATTGAATGCGCTCGAAAAATTTCGAAAAAAACGTACTATTACTATTATTATTATTCCAGCATATGTATCATCAAATGTGCGGAAGGGTTGGTTATGTCAACAAAGGGTCTATTGAGTGGCTAACTGTGACAGATAAGTTGACATAGCGGTTTTTCAAGCTAAACTTTTTAGTACTCGTTAAAACAGTACAAATCGCGTTTAAATAACGATCGGACACGGATTCTTACCGTCGGTAAGAATTTCATGTACAACAACAGGGCAAACACAGTCAGTAGTGGAAGCTGACCAATTCGTTATATTGATTCCTGCATGTGTGACACGAGCGCATGTTTCTCCAATACATTGACGGGCCGTGTAGTCTACTAAGTTTGCCTGGAGAGCAGGAATTAAACACCGATTCACAGGATCGACCCGTTTATTCGGGACCCTTGACGAAGACGGGACAAAAATATATACGAATAAGGTGAGCTTGGGTTTCTCTATTCGTCCGTTACAATTATACCTTAATACCGGAAGACCCTAATACAAACATTGCTATCGGCGGTGATTTTTAGCAGGTTTATTCTCAGTTTTTTGAAGGATTGTAATTGTCACGATTATTAATACATTCTATTGTAGTTATTAATGTCATAATTCGCATCGTGCGGACCAGCCAACGTACTTGTTGCATTGTAGTTCCAATGTCTTATCAGTGGTAATAGTACCTTTATACTACTAGCGGCAGTCTACATACACAAAGCTATTAACCCCTTTCATAAATGTGTAATGGTACCATATCAAACAGGACATGGCCAGGATGTTTCTATCGTAATAATAGCCTATTGCGTTTTAGAGATTAAAATGAGAATGTAAGTCATGGTCTACTTGTTATACGAGTGACAATTTGCGACTCCATCAGATTGTAACGTGCTCTACATGATACTGTTGAAACGGTTTGTCAGTGCGTCGTGTTATAACTCGGCACACGTTTTTCAACAGCTGGGCAGCGATTTAGCACTCGTTTAAAACAAGGGACAGCCAGAACCGTAATACCCACATAAATGTAACAAAATAGGGGTTCGAGAGGAAAAGATATAATTGAACCCTACTTTTACTATAAGTATGAGGTGTTTGCTATTGTAGTTACTTCGAGCCCATATGCTACGTGCTAATTGTTGTTTTCTTTTCAATTACGCGTAGACACGTTCGTTATTTAACATTTTTGCACTACCTGACATCGGGGTACGGACGCCGACCGCTCTTGAATAGCCTTTCATTTGGTGAATGCTACATTGGCGCGATCCTGTGGACCAGAAGGATGTGCAGGAATGAGCAGGAGTGTAGCAAGGATACCGATGCAGTTAATTGTAGGAGTAGCAGTCAAAAAGCAGAATTGCTCAATTGTTCATAAACGTGATAGCGTCGAAATTTTATATTCTATCTGGTAAAACCCTAGCAATTGCATATACTGAACGTTCTACAGAACCGATATACTTACCAGCTAATCATGTACACTTTTTGAGAAAACATATAGAACGATTGGCAGGATTTATAGTTGCATCGTTCGAATTTTTTTGCAACAGAAAACCTTAAAGGTGTTGCGTTCATGATACAGTCTCTCTTGAACACTTTTAGATATGCTTCGTCCTAGTGTGAACTTGTCTGTTCAAAAGCTTTTGCCAAACAAAAAAAAAATTACGATTTGCAGCGTCAAAAAAAGTCACCGCAATTTAGTTCTTTACTGGACTTTGTCCTTAGTGGCAAAAACGACCGCACGAAATATAGCATCTGATATAATTTCCTTGTTGTTACTTACATACAACGCGAAAAAGAGCCTACCGCTGCATGATGTAACCGAAACAACCCACAACACGATCGTTGACCACAGCACAATGAAGACAGATTATAATAGGCATGTAAAAGCCCAGCTTCCATTGTTCTAGATTATACCTCGTTCGATTCCCGTTCGTTTTCTGAAGGTCCTAAAGATAGTTAAGACTGATTTCTTTTGTATTACATCACCCGCTATACAAAACGGTATGCGTAATAATAGAAGCACAGATCGGGAATAGCATGAAAGCACAGTAGAATATCTTAATAACAACTGAGCTTGTATGAGCAACCTGCATGTGCGTGCACTGTTTTTTTTTAACTGGACAAAAATTGCGTTTCATTTTTCACGAACCTAAATATTGACCTAGTGTTGCGACAGGCCACTTGGTATCAATACCATCATTGAAAAATGTATGTGCACGACGCCGTGCTATCGTTGTTTGTTCTCACCGGATAGTCGCTTGTTCTCTACACAGAACGGTGAAATTTACCGTGCTAAGAAATGAATGGTTTACATCTTGATACATTTACGCGCACTCACAATTTTCTGTGCCATAGTGACCTGTAAGTATGTAAACGCACAGCGAACAAAGCGACAGTCACCCCTCGCAGTCTACTTGTCGAATCGTGATCATCAGAATACGGAAATACGTCTTGTGTCTTCCAGGCTTGGTGTTACGTGTGCATCTGCTTCTTGAACAAACGGTCTTGGCTGAGTCGACCTATTAGATGGACCAACACCAATAACCATCCCGTCAAACGGCACCTGGAGACGATCTATTAGGATTAGCGCAAATTATATGTACAACTTCTTCATTGCAATCGTATCGTGAATAGGGTTACGCGAAGGTAAAACACAGACACGAGTCACGAGCGAAAATAATCAAACATCAGTCCGATTTGCCATTGGTCTTTTCTGAACTAATTAATTCTGAACAGAGTGAGGGTGTAGCATGGCTTACGTACAATTGATCGTCACGTTGAATTGGTAAGAACAAGGATCAGGGTGCCCCTTTTTCGCCAGCAATAGTTTAAGCTAGTATATTCAATATACTATTTGAATTTATGGTTCCTTCAAGTCTGTCGGTCCGGGACTGAATATCGCGATCCGTTGGATTTATTCCCAGCGCTTTCGGCGTCGCTCGTTGAAGGCAGATTGGTTATTTGTTTGGCCACATGCATACAACGAGGTTGAATTTTAATGATATGGTAAAATCAGTGCTACGGAATGAAAAAGAAATTAAAGTTGATTTATTATGTTCAAAGGCCCAGGATTTCCTTAAACTTTACATCAATGACGATCTTAGATAAAAGCTAGCCTACATAGTTGCGATATTAATTAACGCCTACGTTTAACAATAATTTTTGCGGTTGAATTTTTCCGTTTCCATTCAAATACATTCGAATTACGGAATGACCGGCCTCGCTCAAAGCGCAGATTATCTGCTACTGTAGATAATTAGGATAGGCCTCGAAATGACATGAAGCAGGACAATGTAGCACGACCTAAAAAACCTAGAACGTCGTATTTCGCTATATAATTTTGCTCCAAATTAAAAAAAAAACCCTACACAGCAGGTTGCATAATGAACAAGGTTTTTCGTTACCGTTTGGTTAATTCATCTGCAATAAGCTTTTATTTGTCTATTTATGCATACAAAGCTTCTGAAGTCACTGAGGAAAATATGATATTTGTTTAGACTTTTTAGAAGAGAAAATGAAGGAAAAAATAATTTCACAATGACATTGTACGACTATTTCCGGTAGGCTAGCTAAATGTAATTCACCATATTACATTTTTCAACAACCAGTGACAAGTTTTAGTAACAACAGCATCTGCTGGAGACCGTCCGTCTTGAGCGGTGATTGTATTTTGAAAACACTGCTGGAACTCCTGTAGATACGAAGTCATCCTTGGAACTGACACATTGAAACGCTCCGGGAACTTCATCGAACTGATATTGTCCTCGTAGAATTTGATCGTTGCGTTGAAGTTTTTATCTAGCTGCATTTGCAGCGCCTTACCGTATAGCGGTCGTCGTCCGCGGGTAGGTGAGTAAATAATCCGAAACAGCATACAGCCCAACTCAATGAAGCTGCGCATCACATAAAGCGAAAATCCGTATTTCAGAAGCAATCCATGAAGGCAATTGTTCATTAAATTTGACGCAAGACGTGCTGACTCTACCGACTGGACCACTGAGATACGCTCGTTTGAGAAGCATAAAAACTCTTTCAATGCCAAACTCCTTTGCAGGAACAGCAAAGCGCTTATTAGTGCAGACAATGTGAAGGACGGCTGGCAGGTCAGTGAGGTCGGAGACATGTTGCATGCCGAGGATGTTGTGGTCCGATTCGGAATTGTTCCTCGTAACCAGCAGATTTTCTCCCTTGCTCACCCAACCCTGCCCTTGACTAAAACTGGCCAAGTCGACTTGTCAAGAAAATACCTGCTATGACATCCTACGCGCTACGGGACTCGGCCGAAGGCCCTAAAGTGTAAACGGCCCCCTCGTCGGCAATTGTCTCCCATGCTTCTTTCCGACACGTTGAATCGCAAAGATAGTTCATCGCTGAACAATTTAGTCATTCAAAAAGCTTATTACCATCAAATCGCAGAATTAGAGGGGGCTAGGATCAATATTTGTGCAGCATGCTTCCACCTCCAGGTCACAACCTGAACATTGACTGTGATTAGGTCTAACGCGTCGCTGATCTAACGAGCCAAGGCCGTCCAATAACTCTGTGCTAGCATGCATCTGAGAGTATAGTAAGAGGTGGCTAATTGTAGAATAATGATCTTATTGGACGTCAGTAGTACAATCTTGATCACAAAGCTTGCTGTTATTTCAACTTTAAGTAATAAACAGTATTTGATATTCTGCCCAGGATTCGTTATGATTAATCATATTTCAATTAAACCTGCAACTGTTAGATTAGCCGGCACTTGAGCAGTACTGGAAGATTTACATTGCATTTGACAATGGAAAAATAGAAAATAAGGGTTCGTGGCTAGAGAAACTGGGTTACTTCTACACGCATAGCACCATGTATGATATGTTTTTAGGAAACTGAGTGTGCACATCTGATTTGGTTGTGCAGCTTCGTAGCAACTACACTAAGGGAAATCAGCGTGACAATTCAGAGGCACAAAATAATGCACTAATACGTATGAAAAGTCATCATAAAGTGGGTTTGCGCTTAACCCATAATTAATTTGTTAATAGTACTTTAATAAAATGTTAACATCATAAGATACACTTATAAAATGTATTGGTCGTCTTTTTATGGTGACGATTGACGTTTGCTTAGCTTCAAGGTACCAAGATGCTGTCCTTAAGAAAGTGTTTGTCGTCTTTTATTGGCTTTATAGGTTTGTCATGAGGGGGCTAAATTTCGACGGACCAGATTCAAGCGTCTTGGGGAGTAGCAAACTGTTTCGTGATCTAGCGAATCATGCCAGCCTGGCAGAAAGTGACTCCATATCCGCTTCTATAAAGCATACACTTTTTACATAGATACTAAAGCCTTTAGCATTTAAGAAGAGATCTATTTATTTTAAACGCCGATTTAGAAATCTCAAAAAGACCCGCGCTGAGAACAGTTCCCTGCAATGTTATTGAGCTGAAAACACGTTCTCATAAGGACTTAGCAGCGTTGATGCAATCCTGTGTGAACTCTGTTTAGAGTGACTTGGATTCGTTCATATTTTATTGAAGTTTTTTGACTATCACTAATTGCAATTTGTAAAGGGTAACTTTTTTAGCGTGTTAAATAGCTGAACGCTATGACTTCAGTCCGAAGCTATTAGGAACATCAAACATTTTAAAGGGTTCTTAAACCATTTACCGTTAGCAGGCGAAATTTCGTATATATTTACACAAAATGATTGGCTGTCGACCGCCATAAGCTGACTGAGTGTCACTTGAGAATGGGTTTGGAGGCAAAGATTTTTACTTATGAATAAAAGTGGATGTTTAGCAATTAAGTTTTTGTTTTTCGAAAGTGAAAGCGCTATTGCATTTTTGTCAAAGCACTGGGCGAGTATACGTTTAACAAATAAGCAGTTCTTTTTCACTTTTGCAATCATTTTTAGAACGAACATTAAGGGGTTGAGGAATAATCTAGTTCTTACGGCTTCAAACGGAAGAACGAATCACTGCGCGCACGGCAGCTCTTGAGCAAGACAGGGCGTGCGTCATCACAGCTGAGACATGGGCCAGTCTGTGCCGCCCATATGGGACGGATCGGGAAAATGACGACGAAGTAGCGAGAAAACCACTTTGATGGTAGTCTTGTGTAAATTCGGGTTTAGGCTAATGCTCACATTTGCTATGAATATGAGTTTTTTTCTATTACGAGCTGTTTTCCAAAAATGAAGAACGCCGATACATAGTTACTCAACGATAACGCACGACCTCATCGACTCGTTTTAATCACGGCCTAGACCGAAAAGGACAGAACAGAGCA